CACCAAGCGGCCTGATGAGTGGCGAGAACAGGCCCAGGAGGGGCCCAGCCGCCCTCGTCAACCCAGGCCTCCTCCACCCGGGGCCGACAGCTGCTCCCACGTCAGAGCCCTGAGCCATCCACACAGGCAGATGGTAAAAGTGCTTCACATCTGACTACACGTCATCTGCCAGCCAGCAGAGTTTCATTGCATTTGAGATATCGATGCCCAGAGGGAAGTTATTAAGAAGTGGGAGTTATTATCTGGACACAGGCACAGAGATGAGTCACCCTGCCTCCCTAACAGCGCCCCGGAGACAAGAGGCCAGCGCGGCTCCTCCTCACCCTGCTCCCCTCCCCGGAAGGGCAGCTGCTTCCCCACCACTCTCCACAGCCACCTGGAGCGGCAGCCTCGCAGGGGTCTGGTCCTGAATCCAATCTGTGGCCTCCACAGGCGCATTGTTGATGAGCATGACGCCACGCACATCAATAAGAGAGCAGGTGTCGGTCCCAAGTCTCCTACCGTGACCACAAGGGGTGACAAGGAACAGCAGGACGCTTTTTACAAATCACTCACTGTCCCCTAAACAAGGTTCTCACAAATCAGAGGCTGGCTCCTGGCCAGCTCTCCCTCCACCCCCTCTCCTGCTGTGCGGGTCCTTGCAGCCTCTGTTCTCACTCTGCCCAGGGCTCTCCTCACTGGGCCTTCCCATGTCCACACACCACAGTGGAGTTGGGCTCTCCCCTCCTTCCACTGGGGGGCGCTGACTCAAATCCCGCGGCGAGCAGAGGTGACATGGAAAAGCACATGTAGCTCCAAGTCGAAGCTCAGCTCTGTGCTCAACGTGGTCCCTGAGCACGTCCCTTCCATCTGTGGGGACAGCTCTGCTCCTGCCTCAGGGGCTTCCCCCAAGACTCACCCAGGCTCCATGCCAAGCACATCACAGGCCCAGGTGCAAGAAGGACTCGAAAGTCCTTCATCACCAGATGGCTGTGACCTTCATCACCAGGTGCTCCAGGGCCCTGCACAGTGTGTGTGGGAGAGGAGCTGGTGAGGGGGCAGCAGGTGCTCCAGGG